CATCACATAGATTTCTCAGTCGAATTCTCCATAGGCGAGAATTGTATCGCAGACGGAAGGTAGACGAGTTCAATCAACAAAGACGTTAACGCGAAAAAAATAGGGTTTTGCCGGAACTTACTTTGTGCGAAGAAACGTTGCCATTAAAAATCCCCCCAGATTGACCGTGGCAGATTTTATGATTGACGTGGCAATTTTCTCAAATAGCTCTCGGAATTAGTGTTCCCTAAGATCACAGTGCGACCAGCAATGGCGGCCATATTGGCCCATTGCGGCAAATGTTAGACTGGTTTCCAGCCCTCTAGTCTCCATTCACTACAACAATAAAATCAGCTTTGAAAATTGATTGTGGTGATTTATAACAGACAACTTGTTGATTTGTACAAAGTTTGTGTGATTTTCCAAATACATGTACAATTCTCAGTAGAAAAAGGCTTTAAACCCACTCCAATACCACCACCAATTCCTGTGTCCAAATCTGTGCTGTGCAGTAGTAGTGCAGCCTACATGTACGTAGCCAGTTGTGTGCTTGTTTACAAACTTTTGTGCTGTATTAAGTTTTTTTCTCGGAATTTGTTAAAAACCATATCAGTCATCATTGTCATTGTTTTATTCCATCAAAGCAAAAAAACACCCTGGCAAAATTGTCAAATTTGAGACCTACTGTACTTCTATCGTTTCAATTTGTTTCAATTCCGTTGTACAAATTTATCCTCATTATTTGAGAAATGCCCAAGGTGAAAAAAAAGGGTTCATTTGCCCCTCAGTGTGCAAGTCACAAATTACATGCCCAGTGGTTTTGTTCTGACAATGTCAAACTTGCACATGAAAGTAAAGTCAGAGACAAAGTGAGAGCCAAACTGCTGTCACTTTCTGGATTTATTCCAGAAGTTGGTTAGCCAGTCAGATTTAGTGAAGACTGTGTTGATGAAGTCAAAAGAAGATTCCCGGAAGTGGCTGGGAAGACAGACTCTCCAGTAGAATGCCACGAAGATCGATCCTCCGTTGATGATCACGCTTTTGCCAAAAAACAGAAAACCCAAAACTGCGGTGTTGCTTTGGTCATAGAAATGATAAATGAACTGAGCAGAGAAGAATGTGCTNCAAGTTGCATTTCATCTTGGGAGTATGGAGGGAAACGATGTCTCAAATGATTCACTAAACCTATCAGACTGTTGGACCATAGATGAAATACTGGATGTGCTACAGCTTCATAGATTTGTTGCTGCTAGAAATAGAACTGTTGTTGCATTCGGTGGGTTGGCAAATCAAGATTTTCCAGCTTCTGAATTACCACCAAACAAGACAACCTCAGGTACCTCTTATCAATGTAGACTATATCATTTGTGTAAGACAGTTGAATCTGTCATGCACTATGTGAATCCTGCTTGTATACTTCCCATTCATTTCCATGAGAGTGCACTCCTGTATTCAACTATTGGTGGCAAAATGGTTCTACAGATCACATCTCTTGGCAGCCCATATGCTTCCTACCAGACTGTGAAACGTGGGCTCAACAGTCTTGCTGGAGAGAAGGCCAGTTGTCCTAAAGGTGATTTTGTTGTTGTCTTTGATAACAACCAGGTTCTGCAGAGGCGCTGGAGGGTACAGCTGAACAATACTTTCAAAGTGAATATTGTTACAGTTGTTGTAATTTTCATAATCAATGGAAAGGGAAACCTCTTGGTAAATTCAGGACTAAACCCATCATCATGGCATTGTAGAGAATTTACAGCAGATGAAATTGAACATGTAAAGCATTGTTATCAAACCCCCCAAGTAAGAAACACCCATGCAGCATATTTGAGCAATATATTGCTTAGAGACTAGATCATGTTGTTGCTCAACAGCAGTGGGTAGATGGCAAGTGGCGAGATGAGATCGATGATGAGGTTCTGGAACAAGAAAGGAGGACATCATTCAAAACATGTCATGCTTGTGGGATGGATGACACTGTCAACAGCAAATGAAATTGTCCTAAGTGTGGTGTCAATCTTAAACAAGCTGCAATGTGTCACCTTGGAGTTGATGAACGTGGAACTTACACAGAGTGAGTGGAGGTGAAGCGAGGTGGCACAAGTGTTTAAACACGTGCTCAACTGGAAACAGAGCCGTCTGGTGTTCGTTTGACTTCAGAGCGCATGCAGGAAGTTCATAGGGAATATTCCAAATACAGTGAATGTTACACGACAACAAACTGCCCTGTATCAGTTCAAATACCTGTTTTTGTAAATCCATGCTCTTACGATGCAGTTGCAAGTGTGTTAATCGCAGTGGGGGAAAAGGCAGGAATCAAACAATATGGCACAGGAGAAAATGAGTGGGCACCAGTTGTGTGTGATGGACTTCCATACGGTTTGGCAAGGAGAATTCTGCTATGCACATGTACATATAGATGCTCTTACTGCTCTGCACTAATCTATGACCAGGAACGATATGTAAGTCATGTTAAGTCTGATCATCACACAGGCAGCCCCGTTGTTCCAAGCAAGGAGTTTGAGTGGGTACTACTTATTCCAGGTCCAGGCCACATTGAAATGAACATGGTAAAAACCTTTGTTGATCTCACTTGGGATATATTCTGGCGGGACATGGTTATCTTGTTCAACTTTAAGTCTCCAAATGCCCTGAAGTGTGCAAAGATAGTGACAGACCATCACAAAGCTTGGACACTCTGTAGAATTGCACAAGAGTCAATAACGGATGAACCATTGCTACCATTTGTTCGAAGTGTTCTCTCAACACCTCACACAATGGTGGACGTTTCACCGGCACATTTCTTCAAGCACATCATGAACAGCAGAAACCCCAACTACTCATTCATGGCCGATTGTATCTTTGAATTGCTAAGCAGTACATGTATCTTCATTTACAGAACAGGTATTCGATCAGGAAATCTGTAAATCATTGATGCACGAAGGGCAAAGTTTGCCAAAGTATGGTTTGGGAGAGTTCATCCATTGTACAGAGAGTTAGAAGTTGCAGACTCACTCATGCGGGAAAAGCTGCCTCCAGCACTCCAGGAATATTTAACTAAGATACTGTCCTTGAACACGAATGGAGTACCCTTTACTGCAGAGGGGCAGATTTCAAGTTAGAGGCTGTGAACAAGCAGGTGCAACGTTTAATCCCAAATATCCCAACCGGAAAGGACTGGATAACTGCCTGTGCTTGTTATGACAAAATCATGAGGACAAGGAAGAAATTTTTTGAGACAGCCGGTACCCTTGATCCATCAGATCGCACAACAGTCAAAAAGATGCAGGACACTTCCAATGAGGTACTTGCTTTCCGAACACTACTCAGATCAAAAGGGTATCTAAGTTGTCCGGAGGCAGACATTCCACATACTTTACTGAGTGGGGAAAGACTAACTCATGACCTGAAATATTTCTGTACAAAGGCACGTGACATTAGGTCTCGATACATTGACTTTATCTTGAAATCTGAAGTGGATGCTCAGCTGAAAGAACCTAAAAGAGCATATTTCAAGGAACAAAAGCTATGTGTAACAGAGTACGAGAAACTTAATGCTTCTGCGATCCACAGCAAAACAGTTGTGGAAATACAAGCCAAAATAGAGTCCAGTATATCGGATCTTCAAGATAAAGAAATGCAAGCTGCATTTCTTGCAGTATATCATGAAGATATTAAGCAAAGAGCTCTGAAGTCTGACTGTGTTGACTTCTATGAAGAAATCACCCTGTATTTGGCTCAAGAAGATGTACATTCCCATGATGGGGACATTGGATCCGAGGATTTAAATGTACAAGAAAACATTCTCGATTAGATTGTTCAAATCAAGTTGAAGGAAATTCATCAGCATCGTCATGTTTTTTAATGTGAATAAATGTAATAAAG